ATATATATATATATATTATATATATATATATATATATATATAAGTAAAAATTTTGGAAAGAGTTGTCACACTGCGATGCACCAAAGTGCCATTCGCGAAAGCGCCACGTGCGCATCGCACCGGATAAAATCTCATTCATACACTCGCACGCGTTAACAAGTGAATTGTACATAATATAGCGCTTATCGGTTATAGCGAATAGAACACGCACAATACGAGTATAATTTGCCTTTATCGGGCAATTGGATTGAAAAGAGAAAAACAAGATATTTAACGCGTGGAATGAGAAAAGAGAAGAGATCTCGGTTCCGAACGTCGCATTATCGTTTGCTGTATTTTGCATTTTGCAAATCCACCGTAAGTTTCTTAAACAAACTAGTCATTGTATTATATGCAGAAGAACAAAAGACTCGTTATGATTATCGAAAAAGATATAGAGAGAAGTAGATATAGAGCGAGCCATCGTTGTATACTTTTTATCGTGCGTAATTAGCAGCATGGCTCGGGCGATACCACACACTATTCTTAGTTTTGTAAAGAAAGTAAACTTACTACGAAATATAGATATTGCCTATGTATAGAGATATTTTATACAAAATAAATTACGTGGTATTTTAAATTTTAAACTTTCTTTCTATCATGCTAATTCTTCTTTTTACCTTCCTCCTCTCTCTTCCCATTTAATACATATTTATGTCTTTATCTTATCCACTTCTCATATATTCTTTCTCTAACATAATTATTCAGTATTTCGTTTTTAAATTTTTGAATAATGAATTTTACCTCATTACATTTGATTTTTTAATCGAATATGCGTTATATAAAATGTTAATGTATGTACGAAGCGCGTTACGTAATTTTGACGAATTTTGGACCACCAGACATTTACATTATACGTAAAAAGATGAGAACCGCCGTCACGTAAACGAAATTTTGCGGACTCGCGTATAATCAGGCATTTTATCTTTCAATAAACGACGCGCGCGTAAGCTTCCAAGCAAGTCTAATCCAGTCCCGATCGTTCGTTCGTCAGAGGTCTCGAGGACTTCGTTGTTAAAAGTAATTGTCGGTGTTCGCGTTCGGCTTGAAACGAATCGATTGGCTCCGACTCCGAGATTCGACGTACGGCAAAAGTATTTCATTGCGCACGTGTGTACGCGTGAACGTAATAATGCACGAAAGTGACAGAAAGTACGAGGCCGCGGCGAGGAACAAATCTATCAGCGGTTTCGACAAGCCGCGATATATTTATATCGCATTCATCGCCGTACCCCCGCAATCGTGCTGATTGCTACTTGCGCAATATTGCGTACCGCCGGGAAACGATTGTTCGCGATTGGAAAAAGTATCCTTCCCGCGCAATTCACGCGCTCTTTAGCTTCCCCCGAGCGCCGCCGTTTATTCATCGCTAGCTCTCTGTTTCTGGGTGGTCATGCGGATCGATCATGCGACGAATAGGGAATTCCAGATTCTTTTGTCGATTTATCGAGGAGAGATTTATCAATCTTCCAGATCGCGAAACGCTTGTACGCTTCTCGAATCTCTCAACGCAGGGAATATTTTCAATCCTGAATATCTTATCGTGAATTTTACGATATAGATCGTTAGAATAGAAAAATCATCGTCATATTTCATAATTTTGTTACTCTACTACAAGCGAGTATATTCGTGTAACAGTTGTATTTTTTCGCAGTCGTGGATGTACAATGCTCTCGGTCGAGCTAAGTGAAGTTAATCCGCGTTGCTTTGCAATCCACACGGTATTCAACGACGGTATAATCGCGTCTTCCGGTTATGACAGTTAGAGCTCGGTTTGAACGTATATTTCACCGTGCGAGGGCTAATCGACGTTAGCGTGAATACGTGCAGATTATCCGGCTAGGTTACTTACCTAATTACTTCGTCACAATAGAAGAATACGAGAAATACGTTTCGTCGTGCGCGAGAGTATCTTCTCTCTCTCTCTCTCTCTCTCTCTCTCTCTCTCTCTCTGTCGCGTGTTGCGTTCATTCATACGTCTACGGGCGTGTAACGTCGGCACAAAGCTCTTTTAGCCGAGCAAACAACATATGGCGAGTAAACACGCGCGTTGGAAACGCCGTTCAATTCATTTCACCCGGGCAAAACGAGCTACCTGCATCGCGTATTAAATCCCACGCGCCTCTATCGCACGCACCGCCAATTCAATCGAGCCGTGGTGGCTCCAATCGAGCTTTTTGTTCGGCCGACTTGCCCATATGGGTGCCCGAGATCATGCCACGATCTCGTTTGCCCTTCTGACATTGTCACATTGGATAATATACGGTAATACATTTCGGTCGACCCAAATACACATTTAATTGACGTTTTAAGGCATGCATACAAGCAATGTGTGCTTCACTTAATTATTTAAATATCGCGTTTAAATCGCGCGACTTCATTAAAGCGAATGCACATAGGTAATTCTTCTATCGGTTCATCGACGATAACAATTTGGATATTTAAAAGGAAGATTTAACGGCGAGTGACGATTATGTAATGACGGAACTACAAACTCGCGCGGTGTGAACCTGAAATTTCGGGATTCAAATCTAACGATTTGCACTTGTGGTCTCGTTGTGCAGTTAACCGCCGTTATGACTATAATTATGTACATGACGACTCATTGAACGGCGCGTCCTTTCGTCCGGCACGACAGGTGCATGCGCCATTTTCGAGTGCCGGCCCTCGCAGACCGCGCTGTGTGCATACACTCACGCAGAAATCCCGCGCGCGGGCAAGAAAGTGTGGAAGCGAACGCTACCTCGGCCGCTGGGCTTTTATGGCGACCGGTCCGATCGAACAGGTGCGTCGGAACGGATATATATACACATAAAACGCCGGGGTAAAAGGTTCCATTATTCGTTTGTATATGGCACCGAGGCTTCGCGCTATGCAAAGACTTTTGCGAGAGAAAAGCGAGCGGCGCGCGGCGACAAAAGGTCGCAACGTCGTACGGGCCCCGAGAATAGGGCCTCGGCTACGACATTTTTCGGCACAAAGCGAAGGGGATCGGGGCAGCCTGTCCTCGACAATAACTACCCGCTGCCTCGTAAGAGTTGTAGATTGACGCTTTCGGTCACCTGAAATTATGTTCAGGTTAATAATGAAATCCGACCGATTGACCGATCAATGGGTTTCTGGGATTATTCGCAGGCTTTATTTCTACGAGAAATAAAAATTCTTCAAGATATAAGTGCGGCGTACCATATTTAAATATTTTTTGCACGGGATTTCCAGCGATAACGGTCTCACGACCCTTGACACGGTAGAATCTCGCTGTAGAATCGAGCTGACCCCGTATAAAACTGATCGTTCTCTCAGGATGTACAGCACACCTGACCAAGGAGTGAGAGTCTTTCATCGCTTCCCGGAAGACTCTCGTCTTCTTGCAACCCTTTACTCCGTGATGGTACGTGTCCCATTGTGTCAGCGAAGGATCGCCGTTGCTGGTTACACCAGGTGTATTAGTGCTCGTGCGTTTCTTCTTCGAGAAGCGTGATCGTCGATGATGCGGTGATCCGTGCACGAATTATATAGTCGTCGCCCTTATGAAATTTTCAGTCAGCTGGAAAGATCTGCAGCCGAATAAGTATTGAACGGTCGGATATGATTTACAGTTCCCTTTTTCCAGTTAATTATTATATTATGCTTACTCTAAATTATTAGAGTATGTATTTTGTTTAATATTTTTCTAAATATACTTTTATCACTGATTAATAGGGGAATTAAAATTAAACAGAAGTGAAAATGTCGGCGAGAGAAACGATTTGCACAATCATCGTTATCATTCAATTATCCTTTGTCCTGTGCCTCTGAACTTTAGAGATTGCATCCGATAAGAGTCAATTCAAAAAAGTATCCGATTGAAAAACGTGAGAGATAATGAGATGAAAGAAGCAACTGAATGTATCTATCGTTGCGTTATTCGAGGTAACCTCGATACAAAGGTAATTCGTTACTCTCTTCTTTTGTATATCAGATGATCTAAATGCGATGCGGTTCAGTGATTCTTTCAGAAATTCTTGGCCATATTGATCTATTTCAAGGCAGTGATACTGATATATTATTTTTTGGTCAATTGTTTAATGGCAATA